CAAATAAACCGGTTGGTGAGAGCAATAGGACTCTGCAACCAGCATGACCGTGTCATAACATGCTCAACAATGTCATGTCGCTATTACGAGACGCACACAACAACGTTTGTACGCGGTTGCATACTACTTATAATTCTTTAATGACTCCGGAATGCTGGGCCGTTCAAAGGGAGTGAAAGTCGCGGTTGAACGGCTAAAACTCGCGGTGGTACTCGCGATGATTCGAAGGTTATTATCCTTGAGAAGTCCCCCCCCCCTCTCTCTCTCTCTCTCTCCTTGTATTATACTTTATTTTATTTTTACTAAATTCATTGTTTTTTTTGTAACTCGTTTTCTTTTATTTTTATAATTTTTTCTTTTTTGTTTTCTATATCATCTTTGCATTAATTTGTTCTTAGAGGGCACAACCCTAGAACAATAACAAACTCTCTCTCTGCATCTACTACGCGGAGAAAAATGTAAAGTAATATGCATTAGAATTCTAATAAATTTTATGAAACATAGAAACATGTCCATTTATGTTAAAATTTACTTTATTTTTCTGGTAAATCATCAGCAATCATCATATAGTAATATTATAAAGTACTTTTTACATATTTCATAAAATAAATCTATAAATTATCATACATCTCAGAAATTTACTTTAGAATTTACTTTATTGATGAGTATTTTTTTCCTTAATGCTGACAAAATTTATTTTATTGCAAGGCAAAAAATACAAGTGTATAAAGTCTTGAGAGTTGTTCATGCTAAAAATCTTGAAAAATATTTACTTTACTGTAAGATAATAATTACTTTGAATTAGATTTAGTCTCTCTAATTATAATGTATTTTTTACTTTATCTTCCAGAATTTTTACTTTTAGGCATGTAAAATTTGTGAAAAATAGATAGAATATTTTTATTAATCTTATAAAATAAAAATTACTCAATCATTTTTTTTTCATGTAATGATACATACCAGATATACTACAAAACTGTTATATAAAAGTCGAATAAATTCAAATAATTGTCTAAATATTGTATCTATTATTAATTAGAGAAAGAATGCCAAACTCGCTCGAAAGATGATGAATAAGATGCAATAATTATCCGATTCATCAAGGTTACATTAGTGTCGACAACGAGACGATATAAGCTATAAATATCTAGAATTCTTTCCGTGAGAGCACGGAATCTTCGGTTCGTCCCGCGCTATGGAGAATGCATGTTTTCAACTGTCCAAGCGATACGACCGCATCCATCACTCGTGGTGATAAACGACTGCGAGAACAGGACGCAAAAATGATATGCCGATAGTCTGCCGATAAAGCAAAAAGTACCACAAGACGCGCGGAGTCTATAAATAACGTAACAATGCTAATGAAGTCCTGTCATTATACCAATCGGAAGAGTCTTCAACGAGATTCTTACTTTCATACGTCAAACTGACTGATAACGCGGGAGAATAACTTCGAATAATAACGCGAGTGATTACAACGCTACATTATGTCGGATAGTAATCGAATAAATTTTTAATGATGCCACAAACTTATCGGATGGTCAGTCAACCGATCCGACGATAAAATTATCAAGCTCGTGTAATATCGGGCAAAGAGCCATTGTCTATCGAGACGAGCTGCAGGTCGAAGCTGGAGGCTGCGACAAGGAATCAGACTGGTTGGCTAACAGGCAGGCAGGCAGGCAGGCAAGCAAGCAGGCAGGCAGGCAGGCAGGCAGGCAGGCAGGCAGGCAGGCAAGCAACCGGCGGGGATAATTTAACCACGCGCAGCGAAGAGCCGGTTTTCCACGGCGGCCTATCACGAAAGTTGCGCGCGCGGAGGTACGACGAACCGAAAGGATGAGTCACGGCTGTTCTTCTCTCTTCCCACTCTCTTTCTGTCGCGTCGAGGTCGTGGCGAAGAAAGGGAAGGAAGGGAGACCACGCACGCGAATGCGGCTGAACTGCAGACTATAAAGGAAGACGAAGAGGAAGGTGGTGAAGGAAACGAAAAGATCAGCCGCGAGATCTTACGGCTACATGCTTCGCTTACGCGAGACTATGTACTCGAGAGGGCAAGATAAGACGGGAAGCTGCAGAGAGCGAGGAAAAAAAAATTGCGAGCGAAACGGGGAAGAAAAGCAAGAGCTGGTGTCGCTATTTATTATGCATCTGCCGGCAAACGAATCGCAGCTGCCTGCTTGCGTTGACCGGAAAGAACTATGATGATTCATTGCTGCCTCAGGATAATTATCCCAGTATACTTTTCAGAACGTGACTTCAGCAGGTGGATGCAAGTGAAGTACGTTGTTGCTTTCATTCTTATCGACGCTCTTATTTCTACCAATGGAGATTAACTTTAATCTCGGTTTAATTTACTTTTTATCTTTTTCTAAAGAACTAGGGAGAGATAGAAGGTAAATTAAACCGAGATTAAAGTTCATTTACGTTGGTAGAAATGATATTAGTATTCAATCTCTAAATGTACACAATCTAACACAAAATTTTCTCAGGAAGAAATGTATAAGCTATACACAGAAAAAAAAAACGATTTTGCTAAAGTATTTAAAAATTTAGCTGGATACAGATCTGAAAATAAGTTCGTTGGACTAATAATTGGACTAATAACGCGGAAATCTGAAGCATGATGAGTAATGTTATAAAAAATGTTTATGTTCTAGCAATTAGTTTGAGTGTCCTACATACATAACTATTTTGATGATTCAACAATTATTTCCACATCTATATCTAAATTCTTTGGAGTAGAAATTCATTCTAAAGAGTGAAAATTAAGCCAATCTTGAAAAAGAGTGATTCAATTTTCAAAGAGATTTTACTCTTCAGAATAAGATTCTAAAAGTTTTAGAAAGTAGATAAATCTTTAGATATTTCAACAAAACCATTCTTCCCGTGTAAACGAAATTGTTACTGCTATATTTGATGTTAACATACTATGTTATAAGAGAAATTTAATTATTCATTATATATATTATTATTATTTACGTTAATTTTCCAAGAATCCAATTGAAGTTTCCGAAACTTGATACATCCTTATGATGCGAGGTATTGCGTGATCACGATATAATTGCACTGATCGAGGTATAAAGCGCGCGTAACGTGGAATAGCTTGTTAAGCCGCAACGACGAAGATTAATAATAACATCTACAAAATGAGCTCCATCATTCACGAAGCTTGTGAAAGGCCGTCGCGTCGTTGTAATGGCTGCGCCGTCAGCGTCACAAGGTATAACGTGTAGCTGCATAATACTTCATCATTTCCCTGAGCGACAATGATACGACACCGGGGAATGGTTCTCGTCCTGCCGATAAATATGAGAACCGAGAAATCATGAGCGATACTAACAAAACTTTATTAATGCGGACTCAAGCACCGAGACGATTCTTTCTATCGAATAAATCTCTGATAATCGCGAGCATCTTCGAGATTTATCGAACGCTCCGGAGCTAATTAAGCACCGTCCAAGAGCTCTCGATCCTGCTCAGTGATGTATTAGCACTTAGGGTTAATTTCTAGGTTAACCTAGAGACCCTATAAGTTTGGCTGCAAATTTTTGATTAACCTGTTGTTTTTATTTCAGTTTCAGTATGTAAAAATGAGACAGAATAAATAAAATCTCTAAATTTTTAGAGTGAAATCTCACTTCAAAACTTTGAAAGAGAGTAGCTAAATTTTCAATCTTTAAGAGCGAAATTTCATTCATTAGAGTGACAATTCACTCTAAAAGTTTTAGAGAGTACATATAAAAAGAGACAGTATATATTATCCTTCTTTTCACTCTTGCTTGAAATTTTTCGTGATCAGACTGTTGTAGAATCTCTAGGCTAACCTAAGTTATGCATAAGGACGGCAAATTTAGAAAAAAGCGGTTTTAAAAAAAATTTTTTTAAATTGTCAATTTTTATTAGATGCGAATAATTTTAAAAAACTACCAACGAATGTGTGCGAATCCAGTAACTATAGAATACAGAATTTAATTAATTTACATTGAGTTAGATTAAATTACATTGAGGCTTGAGTAAGGAGAGCAACGATTTAATTGCATAGGGGTATCATGAGTCCTAATCCGTTCCTGATCCCGTGATGGCTATCGCGTGGCCGTCCGCGATTAGGTATCTCTTTGTGCGGCGCACGCGGATCGCGGCACGAACTTCAAGGGAAACACAAAGTGCTATGCTTGATCAAACATAAGCCGTTATTGGTCGGTACTTTTTCGACACAGCCGGCTGGTCGATTATTCGATCGATTATGCAGTCAGTAAAAGATCGAGGAAGTCGGAACGGGGTCGCAGCGATTCATTGCCGCTCGTAAAGCCGATCGCTGTTTTTCCCCGCGTTACAATTGTGCACTACCTACGATGCCTTGTCCTGGAACTTGTTCAGGCGCTGCGACATGTATGTATTTATAACACGAGAGTTGTTCGCTGAACGTAAAAAACAATTTTATTCGCAATAACACCTCGTACTATCGAAGCGCATTGCGTAACGCGTCGCGCGGGTTTTATTTGTCGTTGCATCGATAACAAGAAATGGCAATGTCGACAAAATTAAAAACTTGCAATTTTTTCGAGAATAAACGCAATGCAAATGCATAATATCAAAAAGCGGAGTAATTAGCTCGAGCAAAATTGAACTCAATACGAGAGCGTGATAATTGTTTAGCGCGAAAATGCACAATCGGTGTTATGAAATTTAGTTAAGAGGTAAAATTATCCAATTATTTGTTATTGAGAGTTATAAATTATGCATATTGTTTCAATTACGAGCATTCGGCAGAAACGTTTCCAAACAAACATTGGATAATTGAAAAATATATGACAAATATAACATCTCGTTCTCCCGAAAGCGAGAGGTAACGAATTTTGCAATCGTAGCGAAATAATGTTAAAAAAACAGATCCTATGTTTATTTTAAAAAGCGCAGTGTTTTCGCAAAGCAAGTTCTTGCGACTCCATCAATTGGAGCAACAACATATTCTTGTAGAATGCTCTTTCGCGACTCACCTCTGCGAGTGGCTCTTCCTTGGTGACGTCTCCATTCTTGGGCGTTTCATCGCGGCTCGGCTTAGTCTTATCCTTCTTGCTGAAGCTGATCGACCTGAAGGACCACTTTTTCTTCTAGAAAACGAGAAGACATGTCTGATAGCAATCGGCAAACTCATCGCATGTAATTACGCGTCATATTTCATAGAAGGAAAGCTTCTAAATTGACATCAACAATTGATGATACGTGAATATGTTTCAATGTCCTATCGTGATATGAGGAAAATTGATGTATTTTATCAAGCACAATTAATTAAGTCCGGATCGGGCGAGCGCAGATGCAAGTTGCCTTACCTTTTCCTTCTTTTTGGCTTCCTTATTGTCTGGAGAAGTGGCAGTGTTCGGACTGGCAGGGGTGGCCTCTGTGGGCGTCGTGACCTCCGCAACCTCCGCAGGAGAGTCTCCAGACGATTCTTGCTTCGTCTCCTCAGCTTTTACTTCTTCTTGCTGCGGTTGCTGAAAACAAAGGTGAAGTTTTCTTCAAATTTCGTCTTCTGTAGAGATGTAAAGCGACCATAAACACTCAATATTCACCGAGAAAAAGGTTTCTTTAATTCAAAGAAACATTTCTTTAAATCGAAGAAACCTTTCTCTGGGTGTATTGTATATAATATATATATTATTCGATACTATTGAGACACTCTTTTTAAAGAAAATATCTAAAGATTCAATATAGCCCTTCAATATAGCCCTTAAATATTGACAATCAATAATATCGTGCAATAATATTGAATATCTATTCGGATCGGTTTACATTAATACTTTACAAATAATGGATGACTTTGATTCGAGCGATAAAAATACTTTTGATGTATAATAGATACATAAATATGTTTCACGATTGGACAAATATAAATCATCTGAATTCTCAGAATCAGCCCAGAGATATGAATCATCACAAACAGTATTTTATCCTGATATAGAATTTCTGTAAGGCATGGCACGAACATAAACGAGAAAAGAGAATCATAAAAATAAACGATATCGTATGTAAGATATACCCCATGTCGTAAATCTTATATCGTAAATCGATACCTTGTAAAGCTACAATGTACGACTTCTCGCGGTAATACTTCCGAGTCCTACCATTTTGCGAAATGATAACGCTCGAGCATCAACCGATAGCTGCTTTCAACATGGCTCTTCACGACACGCGATATATTTAAAGTCGTTAAAGAGAGAAAGACCCAGACATTTTCCATGTCATTCTAAAATCACGTATCTCATTAACAACCTTATTACAACTTCGCTTTACTACGCTATCATTAGCAAAACATCGAATGTAAATTACATTACTGAAAGCTTTGACGACAATATAATTATATGTAATCATCAGAAAGAATCTGATTAAAAATTGAGCTTAATTTTTCGTAAATTTAAATTAAGAATTTAAAATTAATATCATAGAAACACAAATTATCTCGATTCTTTGCTGATTTGCCTCGAAATTTAAATCTTATCAATTTGCACGAAAATGTAGAAGCTACACGACATCGAAAAGCTCATTATCTCATTTCCCATATATGGTTAGGCAAAACTGATTATACAGACAGGCTTTTCGCCCACGAGCATATATGTTTCCGTGATGATACTTGTATAGTCGTCGAAAGTTTCTCATCTTGCGTCCCGAAGTACCGCCACTCCGGAATGAAGTCGCTTAACTCTTTCTCATTGTACCTCGAGGCCCATCACTTATAAATAATATCAAACTTCCGTGAACGGGGTTAGTTTTCCCGGAAAGTGCACAATGCACAACGAGACTGTACAACATGAGAAGCACCACCTTTGTCCCGATCCTAAAAGACCCTTGACAATCTCTCTGATGTGCAGTTTACCAAACTAGCCAAGAAAACTGCAGTCGACGAGAGCTTGTCGATTCGTCTTTACGCAAGGAAAGTTCGTTAGAGTCGATTAGATTTCGAGTGTCAAGCCCTGAAGCCTCAAAATTTCTAAGCTTCTCATAGTAATAATTGCATACTTCAAATCCAGTTACAAAACAAATAAATCAATAAAGATTAGAAGATTCGTCGGATTATTATACTTCCATTGACAAATAAATTGTAAACGATTCTTATCGCTAAATATAAATAGTTTCTTTTATCTAAAATTATTTTTAGAACGATAATATCGCAAGAATGGTCGAAGATGCCAATTTAATTTTTTTTATTTTCAGTTAATAAAGAGTTATTTTGATATTATTTATGTCATTAGAATTATTTCTATTATATTCACATATTTTCAATATTCTGTACTGTATATCTAATATACAAAAAAAAGTTAAAATAATTAGCGAAATCAAAATGATACAATCGTGGTTTTAATTTTAAAAACAGCATAGCAACTATCCAGCAAATTTACAAAAAAAATTCTAAAGAGATTATAAAGCAAAGAAAATCGCAACAATGCAATTGTTAATTGAACAAAGAATGTAATTATGATTCACGATGTAAAGCAGACAGACAGAATAATGCTTCGTTAAAAACGCTTCTTAGAAATTGGCTTCTTAGAAATTGGAAAGACAAATATCTGCATCTTTCTCTCCTTGAATTGATGATTCGCTTATCATCCGTGTTACTATTTCATAACACACAAAATTATTTTTTTTTTTTGAAATCGTGCATTTTATCATATCTCTTGCAATAGCTTTTTATTGTGAAATTTTATTCTAAATCGGACGACTGTTTTTTGCCAGATAAGACTTTCATTATTTAGCTATTTCTATCTTTCATTTCCAATTCGTGATCGATAAAATCGGTAGCTGCGACGATAAATATTGTCCGAGTCGAATGAAACAACCGTGAATGGCGTTTCGCAAGTCGTAGCAGGTGACTGGTCGATACAAATAAGCAGTTACTTTATTATCAATGCAATACGCGAGAACAATTCCACACGTTTATTCGAGATATGCAAACACGCACGTACGATGTGATAAAACAACGCAACGGCCGATCAAGCGACGTTCCACGACGTCGTTTAAGAACGATATAAATCTGACGTGGGCGTAGGATGGCGGATTTCCTGATTTACAACGGACTTGTGCGAGGCGCGACGTACCGTCACATTCGATTACAAGTAACGCGTCTGCACAATGTCGTTTCTCTCTCTCTTTCTCTTCTCGCCATTGCCATCTCTTCCGCCACGACAGCGAGATGAGGCGAATCTCCTCAGACGCATTTTACGCGCATTATATTATGTAAATATCGGCTTATTTCTGCATACACGAGACGGTGGATATCCCACGATATCCGGTAAAGGCGAAATATGAGCGAAGATAGAGGAGAGAAAAAAGAACGGACGAATGAAAAACGAGATCCGAAAGAGACGAGGGACATTGTATTTATTCTCTTCGACGTAAATGTCCTCTAAGTGACACCGCACGCGAATATGTGGAAACTAAATACCGATATATGAACTGCAACACGTCGAGGATACAAGTTTGCAGACACTACATAATCGACCGAAAATTTAGGACCGAAAGATAGAATAATGATCTACGTTTTCCTACCGTTAAAAAATTTATATTAAATTTATATTAAATGTAACATACTTCGCCTATTCCAAACGGACTACTCTAATTTATGAATTAATTTGATAAACACAAAAAGGGTTTACTGATTGACAATTTTTTGTAAACAAATTGTGAAAATATATTTTTTAGTAAAATTTACTTTTAATTTAACACAAATTATTTAAGTGACATCATCATGTTAGTTAAATTAATATTTGAATACGTTAAAAAATTCAACACAAAATTTTAACAAGGATTTGAGTGGATCATTTCCAAAACAAACACGAAATATTTTTCATTGTATGATTCTATACATAAAACAAATGAAAATTAAAATCATAATAGAGTACATAACGTAAGAGCAAATTGACTATTCTTCAAGCTGCGCTTCTCTAGTATATAAATATTGCGCATTAGGTATAAAACAAAATAATACATTAAGATTCCACGCGCAACTCGTATTATCAAAGACGCAGGCAAATAATAATAATGAGCGTCTCGTCGAGAGGCCGATATATCGGAATTCGGAGGCCACACGAGTTTACCATTAATTAATATTCAAAGATACGCGGCGCGAGTAACCTTGCACGGCGGATAAAGACGCCGGATTGTTGTGCAGCCGATCGCACAATATTGGAATACGAAGAAATCCACGGAACACAGCAGGCTTGAAATGAAGGCCGAGAGATTTCCACAATAAATTCCTCGACGTTCCATACGTGCATATATGAATACGCATCTATCTGTCCTGCGTACACAGATTCTATAACGAATTCCTAAGTGTTGAATAATTGTCGTGATCGACCTACGCGAATTGGCGTTTTACTTTGACTAGGCGATCCCGCCCGCCGTGAAAACGACGTGGTCACATAAAACGAAAAATTACACGCAACGAGGTAGTTAAATTTAACCATTAAAATACTCGGCTATGGATTTATTGTGTTTTAAACGAAAATCCACGTCTCACTACGGACCGCTAAAGGAGATAGCGATGTTCGCTGGACGAAGAAAATTCGCAGGAATTCAGGCGGATCAGAGTCGCAATTAGTGGCAGCGAAGCAAATGAGTCGTATTAATTAATAAAGCGTGTTCGTCTTGAACCATGTAAGCTACACGCACGATGATTCATCAACGAAACGCTGAGATATCATATGTTCGCACAGTATTAATTATATGTGAAATACTTCGCTTAATTTCCATATGATACCGTGGGGCTGATTCATCGTTCGAGGAGGAGACCAATAGGCGGATCGATATCTTTTTGCCATATACGTTAATCGTGTATAACGTATCTTTATATCGGTATAATCGACAAGTTAATTATAGAAATCAGAAAGATTCGTGAACTCACGAGATACACCCTATAATTTAACTTGTCAACCGTAGAGCAATAAATCAATCATTAATAATAATATTTCTCCTTATTAGAATCCCGCCTATTAACCTATTAATATTTTTTGAATCAATACTAACAGAATCAACTTCAATCAAATTATATTTCAAATAAAAGATATTTGAGATCCGAAATTATATTTCTCTTTTCTTATTTTTCAAAAGATAAAATAGATGTCGTATACAAAGTTATTTTTTACCAAATATCATTGTGCGAATATTATAAAAAAAAGGGAGATATAATAAGTATAGAATTAGCCACGGAAACTTAACAATTTTAAAATAAAATAACAGTACAAAATTACTTAATATTAATTTTTATATAATAACAGGAAATAGAATGTCATTTAATATATCTGAATATATTTGACTAATTACAGCAGAAACAACTTTTGAGTGAGTGCTCAGTGATTCTTTATTATAAGAGATTGGTTTTCACACTTAGAGCCAGTGAAAAACTAAAGAACCAATCATATTAAAGAATTAGTCAACACTGAGCTGTTTTGTTTGATAAACGCAGTCATTACTTAAATATACTCAGATGTATTTCAATGAC